CTCCCGCTTTCCGCCCACCCTCTCGCTCCCGCTCCCAACTGCGCCCTACCTACCTATCCCAATATTCAATTTTTTTGGTAATTGCACTTTGTGTAATTTTTATGCTCCTTAGTTTCAATCCCATTTTGAAATTAATCTAAAATTCCATATTCCTTTCTTGCAAAATATGACTTTTCACTAGGCTACCGAACCCGCCCGGCGGGGCAACCCGGGCCCCCCGCACGGGGTACCCCGGGCGAGTGATTTTTGGCCCCATTTTTATTTTTATTTTTTAACTTAGGCGGGGCATTTATGCGCCCACCGAGTACTGCTCAAATCCGCATCAAATTTTTTTTCCCGATGTATGGCCCCGAGGGGTGGGGGTGGGGTTGAGGAGGGGTTGAGGAGGAGGGTGGTTGCCACTAGTTGGCATATTTTGGTGCAGCCCCATGACTCCTCTCTTTTCCCTTATTTTCTTTTCCTGCCATCAGTTTGGCCAACCATAAAGAAGGGTTTGTGTATCAGTGGGGCGGCCCACAAAGAAGTGCTTGCTGGGTTGTGGGGGGCGGCCCACAAAGAAGTGCGTTGATGGGATAACCTCGGTGTCTTTTGTGGATAATTTCTTTTTTTTTTCTTTGTTCGTGGCCGCAATCGATGAGACCAGTTCACGGTTGTGGTGTCAGCCTGCATGGACATTAGACACCGTTATGAGCTAGAAAATGCCAACAATGATTGCGAACCACTTCCCGGTACGGTTTTAGGCTTTCAGCAAGTGGTGCCTGAAAACCGTCACTCTGCATGCAACCACCACTGTTTACACACACTTGGAAAACTGATACTTATGAGTCAAGTTTGAACATTYYRTTTCTKATACCAAAACCAGCACAMAACCACCTGCACRCAACCACCAAGTTTGGACATCCAGTTTCCGAAACCAAAACCTTCGATTTGTGCGCCAAGTTGTCACTACAATCAATCGTAACGAAGATTCAAGGAGAACAAAAGCTAACTCAAATGTTAATCAGGCCCCGGTCCTGACTTCCATGACATACATCTGACAATGTCAAGTACAGTACTTTAACTGCTGAAATTGAGCGACACAAAGGGGCAGGAATCAAGGTACGAGAGCTTGGCATCCACAAGTGTGCGAGTCATTTGCATAAGTTCTCAAGGAATGGAAGAAGACTAAGATCATACAACAAAATGAAGGGGGAGGAGAACAAGTAGACGATGAAGAACAAGAAAAAAGAAGGAGAGGAAAGACGGATAGGACGAAACACAACAGCTAGAGGCGCTGGTCGTCTAGACTTCCGTCTAGCTCCATTCCGGGTCCGACTTGTCGTCCCCCTCCCTGTCGCTGCTGTCCTCTGCCGCAGTCGGATCGTCCTCGAGGACCCGACTGTGCCGCTTCTTTGTCGCTCGGGCTGTGGGCCTTGGACGTGTTGATGGTGGAGGTGGTGCGGCGAGGACAGATTTCGCAGCGTTCACGACAGTTTTCCTTGGTCGTCCCCTCCCACGCTTCACTGTTGGATCAACAGCAGGTTCAATGTCATTCTTCCGCTTCCTCCCGACCCTGCTGATCTCCAGGTTGTCATGGACGAGACTTTCATCCAAGTGGGGCAACGGAGGGGGACAACTCGCGGCGTGGAGGATGAGCGGTTGTTGCAGGATGTCTTCCGACTCCTGTTGTGGGGGCTGTTGTTGCTGGTTCTGCTGCTTCTGCTGGCCCTTGTCTTCTAGTTGCTGCTTCTGCTGATCCTCTTCGTTGTGCTCCTGCTGCTGCATGTCATGCTGCTGCTGGCCCCGACCGTCTTCCTGCTGCTGCTGCTCTTGACGCCTTCCCCCTGCTGCTGCTGCTCCCCGTCGTCCTCCTGCTGTGGTTCCAAGCGATGCTGCTCCGTTTGGTACTGATTGTCCTCTTGGTGTTGTTGCCGCTGCTGCTCTTCAAGTTGCTGCTTCTCGTGCGGCTGCTGCTTTTCCTGCTGTTGCTGCTTCTCCTGCTGGTGTTGCTCCTCCTCTTGCTGTTTTTGCTCCTGTTGCTGGCTCTCTTCCTGCTGCTCCTTGTGCCGCTGCTGGTCTTCGTGTTCCTCTTGCTCCTGCCGCCCTTGTTATGACTGCTCCTTCTGCTGCCGCTTGTCCTTTGGGCCCACGACCCGATCTGCTGGTGGAGGCATGCTACGCCCCGAAAGCGACCCCGGATGTCCTCCTCGATGCGTTTCTGCACTTCTGCCCAGTCTCTTTGCGCAAGTGCCTTTGCCGCAGCCCTTTCCCGGTCATCATGTGAGGCTCCCTCGGCCTCCAAGTCCACGATGCCAGTGGTTGGAGGAGGGGGAGGACAGTTATGAACACCGCGTACCCTGTCTTGCTCGTCCTCCTCACCGAGCCCGCGGCTGTAGAACGCATAGTCTGGGTCATCATCATCATCATCAGCATCCCCATACGCCTCCTCGTCCACCTCATCCACCTCATCGTGTTCTCCCTCCATTGTTATCTTCTCCTTGCCCTTCACACTTCGTGGCGGCTGTTCCTTCCTCTTCCCACTCCAAATGATCTCCTCTTCGCTCGATGAGTAGTTCGATCCGTCCGAAGACGTACCGATGGGAACCCTTCCCTTGGGGGTCTTCCTCAATCTTGCCTGTCGCAACACCTCCTCCTCATCCAGCTCCAAGGGTCGTGGAAGAACAGCAGGATCGTTGGCGGGCGGAGCCTCCGGGTCATCAAAGAAACATGCCCAGACATCAACAAAGTCGTCCTTCATGCGCTTCGGGATAGACTGGAGCTGCATGTTCCAGTGTATGTATACAAGCTTTGCGAGGCTCTCAGATGAGAGATTGTTCCTCCTCTTCGTATGGATGAGGTCGAGGGAGGACCAATTTCGCTCGGATGGTGTTGCCGTGCTCCACATCGCAGTGAGACGAGTAGCAATYTTCTGCAGATCCTTGTGGTTCCCACCATATKAAGCCCACCATTGAGATGYTGTCTTACGATCAAGACAGCTGTCTGCAACGCCAAAGCCATCCCACATGGGCTCCTTTGCACGCTCCTCCTTCGTCGGAGGCTCGCAATGAAACGCCCACAAGCTTTGCCACACGTTAACGTGGGACTGCTCCGACCCCCACGTCTCCCCTCCGAGCTGCGTCATGAAGTACTTGATGGCATTTTGCACCAAAAGACTATCCTTGTCCAACACCCAGCGAGGGTCCCTCCTGTTCGGCGCCAGCAAGAAGTTAGCAGCATGCGCAGGCTGCCTCATCCTCTTGCATCGATCATGAACAATCGCCATGACGTCCTGCCGCTGCTCCTCCGTGAGGCCGAAGATCGTGCGCAACCACTTCTCCAAAAGCTCCCCAAACCCCCACAATTGTGAGGGTGCAGCGCCGTCGCGGTCCATCCTACGCAGCAACTCGTTCACAGGCCGCATGACACTGACTATTCGCTGCACCTCGATCCACCATTCGTCGGAACGGACCGTGAGGAATATCCGTTCCGCCTTTCGACGGAGCTTCCTTGTGCTCCAATGGATGTTGTTCCAACCCCTCTCCATCATYTCCTTCAACACCCAATCCCTGTSACAYAGCCTCTCAAGMAYTTGATACGTTGAKGYGAACCTAACTTYTGTGGGCATGATGAGGGTCTTCGTTTCCTCCAATGAACATGCTGAGAACAAAGCCATTGTGCGATGGTGGTTCCTGATGAACTTCACCATCATCTTCACCCTCTTCACAATCGTAGCAACCCACGGGAGTTTCGCGATACCCTTCAGCAGCAAACTCAAGGTGTGTGCAGCACAGRGGACCYAGGGGATCCTTGCAATGTACGGATCCTTGCGAAGAGATAGGATCCTCGCTGYCCGTTTGTTCACTTGTGCGTTGTCYGTGCAGATGGCATTCACCCTATGGACCCCGATCTCCCGGATTACCTCCTCCCATAACTTGGCAATGGCAGCYRCATTCGTCTTCCTATGGCTCATGTCAACCACCTTGATCAGCACWGCTCCTCCTTCCCCGRCGCCTATGAAATTGRTGACGGGTCTCCACCTTCGATCMGTAGTGYYGTCYGTGATGAGTGTGCAGCCTGAAATGTCCCACTTGTCCATCACGGGTCGCACWWCCTGCTTCACCTGGTCATACACAAGATCCAATATGGCRGTGCGGACTGTCTCGAACATCGGCATGTCCACCTTCGCCTTGGTGGCCCCCAATTCCATGWACAGGTTATGGAGGGCGCGCGTCTCATCTTGTCTGACGAAATTGAAAGGGACCCCGGACCTGAACAACGCCCTCCCCMATTGKGTGTCCAACCTCTTCTGGGCTGCGTTCTCGGCCCACTTCCGRATCGAGGTYTGTGTGGTTYTCGTGGACTTTGACCCGGATGTGGAGGCTTGGAAGGAGGGCCCCGCTGTTGGAGGGACTATTTTGTCTTGTGTGTCCTCCACAGGGGCTCCTACCGCTGCTTGCCCTTCAACCCGCACTTCTCTCCCAGGCGCAGGCGGCGTCCTGAGAAGCTCTTCCATCTCATCTGATTTGCCTGTCGCCAATGCACCAGTCGGCTCCATCCTTGTATCCTCTGCAATCCCTTTTCGTACAGGATACTGATGGACCATCTTCTTTGCAGCCTCCCCCTCAATCTTCCCTCCCCTTAGTGCGAAGAGATGCAGGATCTCCCCGTTCGTGTATGGACAAGGCTTCCCCTTCCGCAGGAAGTGTTCCATCGCTCGGGTGGAGGACGCAGTGAACTGCTGGTGGCAGAGCTTGCAGAGGACCCAATACTGGCCGTACCCTTTTGGCTGTGCTGCCTGCCCCCGCACTATCCACTTGTACACGATGTTCTCCTTCTGCAACGCCTCCTGCTTTTCATCTGGTTGGGCCTCGAACGGTGGCTTATCTTTGGGTGCACCTGCCTTCACTTTGTCCTTGCCTGCACTGTTGCTGCTCTCGCCTGGTGCCACCATGATGAACTGAGAAGATAGACGAAGAAGAAGAAGAACGAAGAAGAAGAAAGAAGATAGAGAAAGAAGAAGGAGAGAGAAAAAGGAAGGAGTGCAGTATTAAGAAACGGTACGACTGTTGGGGGCACAGCAGACCGTACGCCTCCAGCTGGAAGATGGTGCTGCAAGTGCGGATCACAAAACGGAAAGC